TGCTCCCCATGTGTCTTGAGTTGTACAACAGAGTATAGATGTACGAAGTAGAATTGCAGGATGATAAGGGTGGGATTCTTTCAAACAAATTATCAATCAGAAATTCAGGTGACTTATTATTTATATGTAAACCTTTGGCAAGTGACAGCAAATGGCTTGAGAAGTTGAAACAAGGGCAGGCATGTATCTGACAGAAATCATGTACATGTTGAAACATAATATGAAACACCCAAGAGTAACAAATTTTCCAGTTTTATGCTGGCACAGAACCTGAATGTCATAGGTAACTACCTTTTTACTTTGGGTACCTTTTACATTTTAGCCTTTCAGAAATTTTTCTAAGGGCTGGGTTACAACATATTTTTGATACCACAGCCTCTGGCACCTAGTAATTCTTGTGACACCATGCAGTTGTGCAAGCAGAAATTTTAGAATGATGTTGAGAGAAGGTTGCCTTCCTTAGAGTTACGTCTAAGTAAACTTCAGACTGTTCAAAGCAGGGGTTTCGAGCAGCAGTCCATCAACACCTCTAAGACCTGCTGTCTGTTTAGCCTGCAAGCAGGTTCTCTAGTAAGGGATTATCTTGAGGCACAGCTGCCTATTACACCATCAGCAGGTGTGTGTAGAAAAAATTGTTGAAACCCCTCCCATAGCTTCTCTATAAGGTTCTCTTTGGTGTTTGATGTTGACTAATGTTGGTGCTAAATATAACAGGCATCATCAGAAGTAGCTAATGAAATCCTGCACTAAGAACAAATCATCATTTGACACAAGAAAATATGAAGGTTTATTTGTGTAATAGGATTCAACAGCTACAAAAATAATATCTATTGTGGAGTAGTGACATTTTACAAGAGTATTACCAAATGAGGTAGATGGTAAATATGGGGCTTATTATATTTCTATTGGCTTTTAAATAATTCATCCAAGAAAATAATTTGTGTAGAAAACTTCCACGAAGATTGTTGTTTCTAAGTGTTTTGGAATGTCAAGTCTGGGACAGTTTGGGGATAATATAAAAGTGCAGGATTGCAAAAAGTGCTTAATTTCACCATTTCTCAATTGCTAAACTTGTCCAATAGCATTCTTGTTAGGTTTAAAAGTAAATTCTAGAGTTTTAACGGATGAAGTTAAATCAACAAAATAGTTTTTTGTATGGTGCAATGTTACAGGCTTCTGTACCAGGTAACCCTCTAACTCCCATGAGTGACCAAGACAGATCTCTCCAAAACCAAATTCTCCAAACTAACATCATATGAATTGTGTGGGAGGCAGTAAGGAGAATTGAAAGGCTCAGAGCAAGAACAATCCCTTGATTTTTCGGCCATTTTTGAAAGCCCCTGAAAGAGTTAAGCATTATTATTGGCTTCTGTATCAGTTAACCCTTTCTCCAAAACCAAATTCTCCAAACTAACATCATAAGAATTGTGTGGAGGCAGTAAGGAGAGTTACTGATGATATCTTGGGAGTTAAAGGGTTAAGCATTTCATAGAAAGAGACTTTTATTATTTTTTTGTCATTCTTGGTTTTAGATGTTTGAAAAGATTTACTGCTAAATATTACTGCTGGGTTCTTAATAAATCTGCAACACACTCCATAATTATACTGTCTGGTGTTTTTATTGATTAGTTTCTGAGGAAAGTCTTGTGCTGTGGCAGCAGGCAAATGAAACACTTTGTTGGTAATGAAAAACAGTTGAGAAGATTAAATAAACTACCCTGGGGTATTTTTTGAAGCTTTTCAGAATTTGCATCAGCATCTGCGTACCTGTTTTCACCTAAAGTTGATCACCAGCGATAAGTATTTTTTTTGCCTAGCCTGCATTGCTGGTATTCAAATAACTACTTGTGAGTGTTCAAGGCTGAGCACACATTATAAATGGGAAGGTGATGTGTTCATAGGGTCCCTGTTCATGTTAATAAAAAAAATTAAAAAAAAAAAAAAAAAAGGAGATGGGGATTACCCCCTTCCTCTGGTCCCAAACTGAACATGTACACTTGCAGAGATTTATAATCATTTGATAGGAGGGTCCAGATAGCTACCACACGACCTTCAGCTAGGCTGCAGGTTAGTGCATGCAGGTTTGATCCTTTGTGAAATGAGTTCTGTGTTTTTGGTTATGACTTAAAGCCTCCGCCCCTAAGGTGACCAGCAACCAATTCCTATGAACAGTATCACTGCTGAATCAACCATTACAGTCATAGGAATAAAGGAAATGCTCAACAACTAAAGAGTTTCAGAATTAGCCCAGTCTTCCTTTTAGAAATTGAATACACTAACACCTGAAAAATGCATTTTTTCTAACTAACCAAGCTTGTTGCCAAATTTTATATTTACTTTAGATGACAATCAGTCATTATCAGTACCGCTCTTTGCTCTAATTTGTTCAATAATAACCCATTATTGTTCCATATCATCTGATGTTTTCTGGAGTGGCATTCTCATTATCCACCTCAGCACCATGAAGCTACATAGGGAAAAAAAAAAGAAAGAGAATGTAGAATATTGTGTAGCAGGTCATTGTACAAATCAGTTGGAAGTTCCACAGCTCTTGCACAAACAACTTGTGAGCATAGATTTACGTAAGTGTCTTCATGGTGAAAATGTCTTACTTTCTCAAGCGGTGTGATCTCTTCAAGAATCATATTAAACATAAGGCACTTGGTAACTAACAACTGTACATTTAAAATCAACTAAGACTTAATTTGTCTAACTCTGCTTGCTTTACCACAAATACAAGTAAGAAATATGCAGAGAATAATTAACACAAAATAGATAAAGAATATATAATAATTACAAAACTCAGGTAGTGAGTGAGTTGGATTCATTCACATACCAAAGGCAAATCTAGTGGATGTCCCCCCTCCCAAAAAAAAGAAGATATACAATACATATGAAACATCTTTATCACTTTTAAGTCTTACTTACTGCAGAGGCAATATTTATCCATTGCATAGCTTTCACAATAGCATCATTATTTGAGGTTGGAGTCTCTAAATTCCAGTAGGTGAACTGTGAAAACTTATGAGTGGCTTTCATCACTCGATCCTGAAAATATTGGAACCATATAGAATATGAGTCGTTACATTTCATTGCACCGTAGACAGCCTCAAATCCAAACAATTCTGCATGCTTCTTCTCCTTGATGAGAGGATGAACCTTCCTAACTAGTTTGGAAGGTTCAACTGCACTAAAAACAGAAATTAAATAACTCATGCAATGCCAAGCCTCCTGTTATGAAGTGCAATAGTGGGCAAGAATAGTGAATATAGCTTCCCTGTGTTGTTGTTGTTTTTTCGTTCGTTTGTTTTTGTTTTGTTTTCTTAGTGTGTGTTGCATTGTGGTCTGGCCTCATTATTGTTTAAACAGGCCCCCATTCAAATCAGCTCTAAAGTTGACCTGGACAAGCCTGTTAAAACATCACAAATAAATAAACATAGAAATAAGAACACACAAGATATCCATTTTGAGTCTTAATCCATGAGAAAAGCACTCCTGAACCCAAAATTTTGTTCACGAACATTTTGAAGTAATTCAACAGGATTTCAGAGACTGTAGTTTGTTGGGAGAGACCAATACAACAAGGACAGACACAAAGTTGGGGTCCAACCATATTGGGACATTGTCCAACATCAAGCATCTCCAGATCTCATTTTTCTATCGCTTGGCATCTAATACTGAAAAATGCAATGCAGCCTCATTTTTGATGCCTACCTCCTCATCAGTGATAGGTCTTCTTCCTTCTTTCATCACAAACCCAGAATACCCTGTGGGTATGTTAAGGACACATCCCTTCAGACCACGCCCTCTAAAGGATGCACTAAGGGCTAGGAATTGAGTAAAAATACCAATATCAAATAACACTATAATATATCAATCTGTATCTTTAACCCTTTAACTCCCAAGATCTTATTGTTACTTCTCCCCTCTAGCTGCTACACATTTCCTTGTAACTCAGCTACAAGAATTTGATGTTAGATCAGGAAAGTGACTTTTACCTGATAAGTTCAAATATTCTCATAATCCTGTTTTCTGGTTATAAGTATGGATATTTTAGGGAGAAGTTTCAAGTTAATCACTTTTAGGAGTCAAAGGGTTAAAAACCCATGTCTGTCTCCAAACCCAGATGGAGCTCACTGGTTACTGGTATTTGTTTCTATATTGCGAGCTCCAGAAATTTACAGTTAGTGAATATAACTGTGATGATTTACTATCTCATTATAAATCTTAAGATGCTTAACCTCTAACCTCACTATCAAGTACAATAGCAAAGATAATGATTGTGTTTGAAAATTTGGTAACACTCTATTTTCGCATGCCTATAAATAAACTTAGTGCAAATTAACCCCTTTAACTCTCAAAGATGAGAGGCATCTTATTTCCCTCAAAAGTAACACCCCTGAATCAAACATTTAGATCAGTAGAATAAAATAAATGATCGTGAACTCGAAAAGCTCTTGATTGTTACGTAAATTCTCCTTGTAAGTAGCATGGAAAATGTATAGGGAACAGTATGGAAAATTTGCATATTTACAGATGTTAGGGTGTAGAGGGTAACCTGATCGTAAATTTGTTTAATATCATTTTTCCGTACCTGATTCGCCATTTTGCACCCCCGAGCTTGTACCTTCGTCTCGCACAGTTGGATCGAAATAATCTGATACCTGAGCTTCCCCATCATGATCTACCTCACAGGCCATCAAATGAACTCGTTTTGTCTCTGAGCAATTCGTAATGGCGGACTGAGAAATCCTCATGTCTCCAGTTGCCATTTTTCAGATCACTTTCAGTTTGATTGCATTTATACTTTGTACATGGGAGGAAAATTAAGAGCTTAAAGTATCACGCGACAGAAAATTAAGCATCTAACGATCTGCAAAATTTATCAAGAAAGCGAATGGGCCTTTTTTAGGACACAACAACAACTTGCGCGGGAAAAATGCGCCGGATATCGGTATTTTCAGCGGCTTACCAATATAAAGTATGCGTTTGTTTACAGTCTGATTTCAAAATGGCAGGTCTTCCGGGTCTATTTCTGAATTGAAAATTTTCAAGATTCCGATGGAATGAGAAGGGTAAGAAACGAAAATTAAACGTTAATGGTAGTAAAAAACATTGAAATTGATGATTCTTGGGTATTCTTATGCAGGGTGGAGACACTTTCCCTGGAGCAGGGCTTGGCAGAAGGTCGACCGTTGGACGCAATGGTATATATTTCTATTCCAACAAATTTCGGCTGTGTTTATCTTGAGTATGTTTATCTTTTCGATCCATTGAAGCATTTTTTGGAGAGAATTATGTACCAAGGGTAAATAGGTGGGGTGTTTCTGAAGGGTAAGAAGAATGTACTTGTTGGTTTTTCTCATGCTTTGGGTCGTTAAGTTTCAGCTTTAATTAGTTTCTGATTGCAACATTTTAATGTGTACGTTACGTTTGACACGTGCACTGCACACTGTGGATAACAGCTGGACAACTATTGTACTTAGCTTATATATGTATCGATCTTTGCTTCCAGTAAAATTTGCAAAAATGGCTCAAATCGAGAAGCATTTAAATATGCTTAATGATGTTTCATCAATTTTCAATTGTCAGCCTCAAGTCGAGCATCTTTGGACCAGGATTTGGACTCTATTCTAAGTGGTGGTAATGATGGTATGTGTTGAATTTGTTCTTCTTACGTGAAGACAAAAGTATTTTTACCTGCTTGATGGCCTGGGCTACCACACTGTAATAAAATGCCTCATTCATTACTATACTAAGGTTTGTATCTTTCTCACGTAATATTTGTTGTTCAGATGATCTATTTGGTGCAAGTGCTCAACAGCAACCAAAGGCCAAAGGGAGGTCTGGAACTTCAGTAAGTTTTGGTGAAGTTGCCTTATGATGTAAAGTGTGTATATGCCTGCTGTTTTCATCATTGTTATCATCATCTGTTCTCATTACATGTATAGGGGTATAAGGCAAATAGTTTCATCTTAACCTTTGAACCCCAGAAGTGACTAGTATCTAATATCTTTACATAGTATTATCACTGAATCAAACTAGCTTTAGAGTCATGACAATACAGGAAATGATCAACAAATGAAAAGGGAAGGCCTTTTCATCTCAGACTTCTTTCTAGAGCCCAAATTAATGCACCTTTTGTTTAGTTTGTGATGTCAAAAAGGGACTAGCCAGGACTTTGGATTTATAATTTACATTCTGACATTTAGAAAGACTAAAATTTGAGGTCATCATAAATTACCACAATAAATATTGACAATTTTTCGACTGAGCTACTGATCCATTGATCTTTTAATTATCCTAACCTCTCTTCCTTCCACAAGGGTCCTGCCAAGAAGGGAACACTGACGTCAGGGTAATGCAAAGAGATTTCTTACAATTTAATAAACCATATCACCAATGGTTGAGTTGACTGAATCTCAATTAGGTTTCTTAGATGGTGTAAGATAATGAACCATCAATTACAGAGCTATTTTGGTGGTAGAGATGCTGTCAATCAGTCTCATAGCTTGACACAATTCATATATCCTACTGTTCACCATCAACCCCCTGCCTTATCAGTTAGGCCATATTACTATTTACTAGGCTAAGTAAATAATAGTTATTCAAGTGTTTGATGTATGTATCAAACAGACATAATGCAAAGTCAACAGTGTTTTGGTATTGGTTTTGCAATTCTCTTCAGTCTTCTTAGCTACCTCTTCAGTTGATAACTTCTTATACTTGGTACCTTGCACACTAGTGGGCAAAGGTTACCACCTGCTGGCTCTAACATGCCCTGTTAAACCATCTTGTGCAACCATTTTATTTATACTGGACTGGTATGGGTTTTAATAAATAAAAACCTTATTTTAAATGTTTCCCTTTATAGTGCCACTGATGAAGACTTTTACAGTAGTCTGGCTCAGATGGCTGGGAGTGACATTGAAGATGAGGACGAGGTAAGAGATTATCTCACTATATACCCTCCTTGGCCATTTTTGGGATTTCTTGATGATCAATTTAATGCATTTTTTTTATTTTGGTTCTGATTTCTTTGTGGACAGTCACTGTCTGAGGCAGATGCCAAAAAGATGGCTGACAGTCTTGCTGTGAGTATTGATTTGATTTTAACATTCTCATCCACTATTGTATTCACAACTTGACAGCTTTTTCTTCGCACTTAAACATCGTCATCCTGCAGGAGCATTGTTGAGATCTGTGATCAATTTTTTAATCTCAACTTTAATGATCTGATTTGATCCAACTCTCCTTTTCTCTTCTATATCTTTTTTTGTAAATTGGTAGAGGGAATTTGGTTTTTCATCAGGATACCACCTTCTAGCCAATGGGTTTGTTTATCCTCATTACCTCCCAGCCGGATAACATATGGTTGTTGTGATGAGAAGTTATGAGTTGATCACTTCTGAGAGTTAAAAGGAGAAATTTACATTGTAAGAATGTGTTTTCCAGGGTCTTGATGACATGGAATCTGATCTCTTTGGAGGATCCTTGGGAAAGAAAAATACAGTAAGCAAGTCTCCAAAACCTGTAAAGGCTGCATCAGAACAGAAGAAGATCAGTGCTGACAGTAAACTACCCCCTGCAACCTCCTCTACAACAGAGTCTGCTAAATCCAAGATGGCATCTGCATCATCATCATCATCATCTACAAAAAGTATATCTGTCTTAGGTTCTCATCTTTTTACAGACACCTTTTATTCTGTTACTGTCAAATGGCAACTTTTCAAATCTGACAATCTTAAGAGAAGTTGTGCAAGCAATAGTGCCAGTGAAAGTAGGCCTCTTCCATGAATGACTAAATGCTGATGATCAATTTTTTATGGGCTTGCTAATTAGCCCTTTGTCCTTGCATTTAATTTGGGAAAACTTCTATTGATTTTCACAAAGCAATGTACATGTACATAAAAGAATAACTACTAAATGTAGGCCCACCACCCTAAAATCAGTATGCATATTCTCCTTACTGTTCTCTATACATTTCCTTAGGTGTTGACAAGGAGAAATTGTTTTCTAACAATCAGGAGCTTCTCGGCATGTAGTTTGTGATCATTTTCTTTATTCTCCTGACCTTCAAGTTTGATTCAGGGGTGTTAGTGTGAGGAGAAATTAGATACCAGTGCTCAAAGCCAGTTCACAATTGTAACTGAAAAGCCATTGAACTCTGCAAAATGTGTCCTATATAATGAAGTTTAATAATTTATTAACTCAGTTCAATAGAGTGTTTTAGAAATGTATATCAAGTATCTGATATATACAAAAAATCAACAGTCATTTAACTTTCAGCTGGTGAATCTTCCGAAAAAGCAACCTCCAAGCAAGATTCTGTCAAGGTGAAGGAAGTGAAAAAGCCAAGGAAAAAATTTGACTTTGGAGGTGTGCAATCAATGTTATTTGCATTACTTATAGGAAAACGTACACCCTTATTGATTTAAGACTCATGTTGATCTCTTACCCAGGGATTTGCTTAAAATTACGTTTACTTATTAGTAAACCTTTATGCCCTTGTATCAGTATGCATATTCTCCATATTGTTCTCAATAAATTTCCTATGGTAATGACAAGGAGAATTTGTGTGACAATCAAGAGCTCCTCTTGTGAGATCATTTCCTGTATTCTTATAACCTTAATGTTTGACTCTATAGTGATGCTGTAAGTTGAAATTATATGCTGGTCACTCTAAAGGTTAAAGGGTTAATTTATCCCTCAGTTACTCAAACCTTTACAGTTCTTGAACCTCGTCTGCTAACTTGGATAGATTTTTTTTTTCCTGATCCAGGTCATTGTCTCAACAATTTATTTTAACTTTGGCAAACAAAACGTCAGATATTTTGTTTATTGAGTTACAGTAACACTCCAGAACTCTGTTTACTATTGCATGTTTGAATAAGTTGACTTTGAAATCTTTCAGAGTTTGATGAAGATGACCCCTTGGCAGGCCTGTTATCTGATGATGAAGAAGACCCAAAACCCAAGCCCAAGCCTAGAAAGTCTTCAGGTTCAAAGAACAGTGGTTTGTCTGCAATATCTAGTCAAGGTTTGAAGTGGACTGTGAAAAGTCTCTTTAATTTTTAGGCACAAGTCATTTTGCCTTTTCATCAGTGCCAATTAAACCAGTTTAATACATACCTCTGACTAACCAAGTTTGAAGTCTGTACTGTAAGTTACAAACAAAGTTTTTTCCACTTGGGTTTATGGTCTGATTACGATATCAGGGATGAGGCTTTTCAACAAAACTTGGTGGAAGTTGAAGGGTTGCCAGAACCTTGGGTAATATTCTTGGATTATTAGATACAGTAAATTTGCCTTTTTGGTCATTAGGATAGGTAGCTGAGTGTTTCATGTAGCTCACTGCACTCTCCTAGGGCAAGTGGTGTACAAGGTATATATGAATTCAGGCCCATTTCAGGAAATTTATTTCTTTTTATTTTGCCACCTAACATAAAAAGAAGGAAGATTACAGCAATCACAAAATTTAGGAAAAAACTGGCAATATGTGTACTACAATACATATTATGTACTTCCTTTATAACCTTACGTTTTTAGATTCCACAGAAGAGAGACCATCGTCTTCAAGAGGGCGTCAGCCAGCCAATCAGGAATCAGCAAATACACCATCACCTCCTGTTACACCAGAACATCAAGCTGCTCTCAGGGGGAGCAAAAATCAAAGTGATACTGTATCTTCCCCCCCTGAATCACCAGAGGTAACATCAGATATCCAGGGGGGAGAGGTAACACCCTCTCAAACTACACCACGGGAAAAAGGAAAAAGAAAGCCTAATGGTAAATGGTAATATCATTATGAAAACGCCTTGTATGTTTCTTGTGATTACTTGTAACATCAATATTTTCATGTCACCAATCTTTTTGTGTCTTAGCTGGTAAAGCAAAGCCAAGTAAGGAGGAGATTAATTTTGACTCAGATGAAGATTTACCAGGTCTGGATGACTCTCAAGAAAACACTCCTCGAGATTCACCCATTCCTCCCACAAGATCAAAGAAAGAGCAAACAAGCAAAAAGGAAACACAGGGCACATCAGGGGATATATTTGGAGACGATGATGACCTGCCTGGTACTGGTATTGCAAAAATGTTGTCATAATGTACAGTAGAAGCTGCATAGCGCCATTTCTTGATATGTCACGTCAGCTATTTTGGTTGCGTGTAATATGATTATGAAATCGAAGAGAAGCGAAACGGAGTATAAAAAGAAAATTTTAAAATACGAATCCTTTCACTCCAGCCCAAGATCTCAGATGTAATTCTCCTTACTATCAGCCATACATTTCTTAGAATGTTAGTACTGAGAATTTTGTGTTGATGAGATACTTTCACCCTGTTGACTTTTTATCTAAGTTTATCTCCTCTGAGTCTCTGAGTGATAGCAGGATACAGGAATTTAATCGATGTCAATTATCCAATCGTAATCGATTGCCAGCGACTGATTTTCCAATCATCGATTTTCATCGATTGTTTCTTTACTCGATCCTATAATGAGGAATTACATCTTGTTTATACCTGGGAGTGAAAGGGTTAAGGCCGCTTGCAATTATTTTTTAAGATTATGTAACTGACGTCAAAATTAAATGAAATCGTGACGTATCCCTGTGCTGACTTAATTCAAAATGTTGATGAGCTTCAGCTGTTTCACAGACCGATGTAACTTCTATTTGAAATTTGACAGAAACCAGAAGTGACAGCCCCACAAGAGGTTCTCGTTTCAGCGAACTGCTTGGTAAAAAGGAAAAAGAAGAAACTAAAAAACAAGTTCCTAAATCTTTAGACGACTTCATGGCCAACATAAGCACAAAGCCTCCGGCAGGAGGAGGCACAACAAACAAGAAAGGTATGGCGGAAACATACATATTAACCCTTTTATCCCCCTGAGTGACCAAACAGGAATTTCTCCTTACCTTAATAAAACATTTTCAAACGGTAAGGTGATGAGAATGAATGGGAAATATCAATAGGAGGTATTTTTTCATTTAAATGCTAATTATCAGAGCAAAACTTGTCAGAAATGTACAGCAGACAGTGCGGAGAATTGATATTAGATCTTGAGAGCGAAAGAATCAAGGTCCCAACCGAATTAACGCACTTTCGAAACAGAGTTGTTCACTTCCTCGAAGTCATTCATGGATGTGTTATAATAGTCGTTCTCAGTTCAGCTTTCGTAGCTCAACATGCAGAAAAGCTCGGAACCGTTGCTTCCGGCAATTTTTTATCCAGATTTAGCGATCTAATACTCTGAATTCCCTTCACGGAAGCCGCAAAGAACGTTGTAAGTTTAGACCCAGTTCAGTCATCTGTGCAAGCTAAGGTAATATGAATGGCGTTTGTTAACGTGCGCGTTTAACTTATTTTGGTCCAAGTATACTTAGGTTAAACTTTATATGTTGCAGTTTCCAGTCCAACTTCTGAGGAGTCATTCCAGTTTGGTGGTTACATGCCATCTGCAGCCTCCAGTGGTCGGTCGCGCAGTCGAGGAGGCCTGGCAAGACCAGACACAGCCCCCAGCTCCACCAAGCGTTCCGTGCGGTTTTCAGATGACCTGGGACTAGATGATGAACTATTTGGAGGTGAGAGGCCCTCGACAGCTCCGAGTCAGAGATCACCCGGAAGGCAAACAAAAAGAGATGAAAAAGATGAAAAAGTCAGTGGATCGTATTTAGATGATAAAGACCAGAAACCAAAAGGAGACAGCAATCCAACTAAAGGACAAGCGAGGAATAATGGTGGGTGTCTACTGGAGTGAAGTATTCCACCGTGCATTTGGACAATCAGCCAAGCACATCACAGATAATGTCTTTCAATAATTTTCGGCTTTTCCCGGTCGGGTCGCAAAAAATTGCTCTTCCTAATAAACCAACAAGGAGCGAGGATGGCTAAGAACGGCGAAAATTGACATAGATTATAAAATGACAAATTTGTTTTAAAACAATTGCTAAATTTGTAAAAATGAACTATCCATGGCGTTTCTCCTTTTAATAGAAAGAGGGAGACTCTCAGGTGATTGGCTGAACGGGAATATCGCATAATTGTAATCACGCCATTCGTCCACAATTTTTTCCTTACCCGTATACCATTTTCCTTTGAACTTATCATGGGTTTGTTCATCCAATTTTGCCGTTACATATTTTTAGAATGTGTTTTTTCTCTTTTGCTTTAGAAGAAAGCAAGATCGAACAGAAAAAGAATCCACAAACTGAGAAACCAAAAGAGGACAACACGCCTGCTACACACGGTATTACGGTCTGATTATTTAATGAGTGAAGCTGGTCGGTAGGCTTGATTTCCGCCGTTTTCTCGTCTCCGGTCTTCAATCCTCCCGAGAAGGACCACGGGAGGAGAGCGCGGGCTCATTTCTTAACAGCAGCTGGTAATCGAGCCTACGGGGCGCGGGGCCACTGTGAAATCCTGAGGAAATGCTCTCAGACATTGACATTATCATTCGACATACCAGCAGCGGTTGAGACACGATAGCCAGGTCATTTGAGCGCTTGGTTCCATAAAGAGAGATCTGGACTTCCGTTTCGGCCCCCATTTTGCTGAGTTTCTGAGCCAGTAACAATTGGCTCACAGTGCTCCCTCTCCGCTGAAAAATATTACTAGATTCCAGCGAAGTTTTAGGGAAACTTGAAATAATGCTCCTCGGTAATCAGACTGAGGGGTAGTTACAATTACAGTACTCCTGGTCGATTCATGCTACCGAAACGTGTACAAGCTGCAACAAAAATTGGTTATAAGGATCGTATAAGGCTCATATTTCGATAGTAGTAGGATCGCAAGACTTTGCCGTACACCAGTGAGCCCAAAAGATTTTACTCCCCCTTATTCTTTGGTCTCAAACGTAAGTATTTTTGCAGTGTTATTTGTTTTCAAAGCGTTGTCTTTATTATCCCAGGATCCAAATTAGGTGGAAGCGGCGGGGGAGACTGGTTAGGACTGAGTGGAGGTGATGACGACGGAGGTCTGGATCTTAGTAGTGCTCCTCTCAAAACAAGCACACCATTTCCTCAGGAGAGCAGAAAGGACACACCCAGCGTGAAAGGTACCCTCTGACTTCATGATGTTCGCGTGCCCTTCTGTATCAAAATTAATGCGTTGTGTTTTATTGTTTTGGTTTAAGCCCCCCTTGAACGTCAGGAGAGGCAGCAATCACCGCCAAGAAGAGCTGGACGACGCCGGGGGGATGGTGACAACGATGAGTTCTTACGCATGCTGGGAATTACACCTGATGAGCCACCAAAACCAAAACAGGTCGAGTCAGCTGATGACAGTGGCAAGTAAGTTTTTTAGTCAAGCTAAGTTTGCTTTCTTATGGAGCGTAAGGCCTACAATGCTTATTTTCGAAGTTGATACATTGTTTATATCACTCCAGTTGCAGATAATAGTAGAAAAGTAACCAACTGACTGACTGGTGAATGATTAACTGAATGAGTTACTGACTGCCTGTCTGGCTTATTTGCAGACTTACGGACTGACTGAAGGGTGAGTACCTGACTGACTGACTCACTCACTCACTCACTCACGTATTGAGCAACTGACTGTCTACCTTTCTGGCTGATTTGCTGACTGACTGATTGGCTGGCTGACTGACAGACGTACTGACTTACTCCCTGTCTGAATAATTTTATCGTGTTGTCCAGGTCGTCTTTGTTCCCATGGGAGTCCCAAGGAGGCAGTCCGAGAAGAGGAAGGCGGAGGCGTGATCAAGCCAGTCCGCAGTCCTCGTTTGATGAACCAGACCCTGCATCCAGCCTTGGAGGACCCCTAGATAGGCCGCCTCAGGGGGGTCGCATGGACAAAGATGACTTTGAAAAGGTAGTGCAACAATCTTTAAACCAAGATACAGCAAAACTGCAAACTGAACGGCAAGCAGCTGCCGGAGAAGTTCAGACTAGAAGAGAATCTGAAACAGCTGTAATCCACGACAGTTCTTTACCTTCGCCTTCGGCAGCTGTTCCACAAGCGCAAGTATCAACCACTGCGTCACAACAGCCTGGTCTTTCTCTCTCGCAGCAATACTCACTGCAGCCGTACACAACACACCCAATCCCCCCTCAAGCCAACGTTTCACTGCAAATGACAGCTCAACCTTCAGCTCAGCAGATGTATCCTCAGCCTCAACATTTCTCTCCTTCACAGTTCCAAAAAACTTCTTTTGCCTCATCTACTGGTCAAAATACCTCCCAGACCCTTCCATACCAACCTTATTACCAGTCCACAGCTGGATTTCAACCATCTCCCCAGGCCATCCAACCGTCGTCGGTAGAAAGGCTTGAAATGACAAAATTGAAAGCCGAAAGTGAGCTGCAGCAGAATAGACTGCTGGAATACGAACTAGTTAACGAACAGCACGTGCAGCAGAAGACAAGACTAGAAGAAGAAGTGAGGGAGCTTATGAAAAAGGTACAAGAGAGGGAAAACGTCCGACAGAGAACAGATCTGGACGCTTCCAGTAAATTGTCAGAGTTGGAAGGGAAGGTATGAGGTTAAGAGTTAAAATGCTGGGGAACAATAACAGATCTGATATTCTCCAGTTATCCCAACGGTCTATTATTAGGGGTTGTGAATGACCTATGCCAAAAAAAAAAAAGCACCTACAAAATTTTCATCAAAGCATACAGGCCTCACAGTTTCGAGCTTCTACTACTTATATCTGTCTCGAAGTATCAATGTTCGTTGTTCGCGGTTTTCAATTCACTGTCAAAAGTAATTCGGGTTGGCTTTGATTTTGCTTTAATTTTCCCTATGATTGGTTCAGAAAACTCGCGTCACCCTCTCGACCAATCAGATGCAAAACTAAAACCAGTATCAACTGGATCACTCGCGTTTTTCCTGCGTTTCATTGGATCCTTGCCATATTTCCCTTTGTTCTGATTGGCTGTTGTGATTACTTTGGTTTTGGTTTAACATCACTTAATCGAAAAGAGCCTGAAATGGTGTTTTGGAGTTAAAAGTGAATGTTACTTTACTCGTGATTCAAATAGGTCCGCCGTTATGAGCTTGAGCGGGAACAACTTCTGACTACGATTGAAACGTTGAAAACAAGACACAAAGATGAGCTGGCTAACATAGATGCCTCTCACAAGTAAGATTGTTTCCCTGCTAGAGTGATGTATCAATTAACTAGGCAATTTTGCATCTTATTTTGAGCAACTTAACTATGTGGGATTTTCATTGTCATAACCAATCGGCTGGTTGGTCTGAATACTCCTTCGAATAGACAAGTAATATTTTATATAAAACGATGCGTTCTTCACCAAATCAAGAATTCTCTTTGAAAGGCTTTCCACGAGAAGAAATTTACGATTTGCTCATCAACTTCACCTTGTAGCTGGCCAAAAATTGAAATCTTACTCAACCTACTCAACCAAACGAGTGCAAAATTTACGAACCATTTCATGATTTCGTTTTGTTATTTTTTTTCAACCAGATCTCACTTGAAGACCTTGGAGGAATCATACCAACGTCGCGAACAAAGGCTACAAGATGAGACCGACCTTATCATCAAACAAAACAGTGAGAAGTTAAAAACTTTGGAAACGGAGAAGGCTGACATACGAGCAGCTAACAACCGAAAACTTTCAATGTTAGAGACAGCGAAAAACAACGAGATAGAAACGTTAAAAGATCTTCATCGACGAGCCATGGAACAATTACGCCACGAACACGAAGATGAGATGGCGCATCTCCGAAGGCTTAAAGAGCAGGAGGTGTCGGCGGCTACAAGCGCGCATGCTCACACCAAGTCGCTCCAGTCCCTTATGGACCACGTTTTAAACTCGACTCGAGAAGTGAGTGACTTGCGACAGAAGATTGAGGTTACTCACAAAAGTGGTTTGGAAGAGCGCGAACTCTCCGCGAGAGCTCGGGACGACTACTTGAAACAATTGCAGGAAAGGTTACTACGGCAGCAATCTGAGAATGACGAGGAGAGGACCAGGTTGCAAGGCAAGTTACGTCAGCTCTTACTCTGTGATCGAATCCGAAAGGAGAAAAAAAATGAAGAAGTCTTGTAATGGTCGCAAGAAATTAAACCAGGACAAAAGCAAACATTTGAACGAAAAAGGAAACAACTTTGATAATAAAACAAAAGAGTGAAACATTCTGATTGCCTACCTCTGTATGAATTCAAACTTTCAGTAACGATTTGTTAATCTTACAGGTCTGGTCGCCAAGATGGAGTTGCACATGCGCGAGCAGTCTCGACAAGTTGATCAAGAAAGATGGCGTCTTACTCAAGAGGAGTCAAGGTTGAAAGCTGTTCAAGCCGCACTGGAAGACGAGAGACGAATAACTATGGAACAGCTCTCCTTGCAAAGAGCTGAGGTACACGTATATTATTGAAATCTAATTTCGCGAGTAAAAGCAACGTTTTTCGCGCACGCTGGCTCTGAAATTAAAGAAATGTACGACAGTCAGTGAGGGGAATTTCTTTGCCCAAGTTAATAACACCCGCCAGTAAACCCTTATTTATCAGTGGGAAGTATTTTCCTTTGGTCGGCCTCTCTTGATGAGAGAGATCGCAAGATACAACTGGAATTGCGACTTTCAGTTCAACTTTACCTAAGGAAATGAAAGTGAGAAGACTGCGCATTTGTTACTGAAGTCTTACTTGAACGGGGAAAAATACGATAGACGCTTTCATTTTTTTGACATTTTCAGGAAAATACAGAGGCGAAAAGAGGATAGCATGTTAATATTATGCTGAAGTAAACCGCATGCATTTTGATGCCAACAAAGTCTAAAATAAGGCTTGAGTAACTTTGGCAATGAAAGTCTCCAGCATGTATTCCTTTTCCCTAAACACTCTGTCCCTTGATGACGTTTTCTTGCTGACACCGAAACACTGTCTCGAACGTGCGATCCTGTCTTTTTTCTTCCATTAGGTACAGCGTGCCCGAGATGACCTGGTACGAGAACAAAGAACTGCTATGGGTCAGATACAAGAAGAGCGGCGATCACTGGCCACGGAACGAGCCCAGCTCTCCTCTGCTCACAGAGACCTGATCAGCAGAGAGAAATTGAAGACTGAGACGAGTGTACAGGTGAGAACGCTTTCAAATTCTATTTTAGGTTTCCTTGGGTCAGGCTAAGGCCGACCATGGAGAAATTCAATTAATTTTTTTTTTCATGTTTTCTTGGGTCAGGCTGAGGCTGATCTTGGAGCAACTGCAGTAAAGATTAAAGAGGACGCCGCTACCTTGAATGTAAGGGAGGCTCAGCTGAAACAGCAAGAGGAGAGATTGAGGAGAGAGCAGGAAGAATTCGAGCGGAAGCGGATTGGATTTGAGGAAGAGAGGGACAGAATCGGAAAGTTGGGTCTCGAGGTGCAGAAGAGATCACGGGAGATCGAGGAACTTTGCGCAGTAAGTTTCCGCTTCCGATTTTTTTTTTAGTCGGACGGTTGTCAATCCCTTTTTTTCAGTACCTACCTACGATGATATTCAACAACAGACTTGCACTTGCACTCTCATTAACTAAATATTTTTTCTCCTAGGATGCTGGTCGGGCGCGCAATGACGGTGAGCATGCCCTGGAACTAGCAGAACGCGTGCGAGTAAATGCGGAGGCTCAAAGAGCGGAAGCTGAAGGAATGTTCCTGGTCGTGCAGGAGAAAGAACGGCAACTGGCACAGGTATGATATTCAGTCAAATGAAGTAATATTAGCAATATTTGTCCTATAATCATTTCCCTGTCAGATAGGCGCATTTGGGGTAAAGTTGCGGAATTTCTATTTCTCTGACTGAATGTTTAACTTGAATCTAAGTTAAAACTTTTGAACCCAAAGAGGTGACTTGCACCTTACTTCTCCTAACACTGTCACTGCTAGATTAAATTTTACGGTTATGAGAATAAAGAAAATGATCACAACAGAAAGGAGCTCTTGTGATATTTTACCATCTCTTTTAACTTACTTTGTTTTTCTTGTCGAAGGTAATTTTTTTACGTCGCAACAAACAATTCAAAAGTATAACGACGTAGCTACCTGAAATTTCAAAAAAGGCATGGCGCCTGTGTTTAACGAGTCGGAGACTGAAATCGCGGGCACACTCATGATGAGCACAGCGCAGATTCTGGCAGGTTATGATGTCTGTGCGGGCAATGTTCGCATTGTTTTCATCTCAGACCCTAAAAGGGTTACAGCAAGTTATACCACATCCGTTTCAAACTTGGCATGTGATTTGAATTGCTTCTATCTATATTTCTTTTGTTTCAGCGCGCTTTCTGTCGCCAAGGTTGATAAAAACCAGGGGAAATGAACAATCTCTATCTTTGCTGCCTTTCCATTTTACTTTCAGACTTTAATTATCATTTTTATTATTATTATTATTATTATTATTATTGCGCCGTCTTTCTAAAAGCTGGTGGCTTTTCGTTGTTAACTGCTCCCTTGTTGTTCGTAGGATCGTCTTGCTATCGCTCATGAGCGTCGTATGCTGGAGAAAGACAAGCAGTTAGGGCGATGTTGGCAGTGTGAGGGACGGCGGGCGAGTCCTGCAGGACAGATTCATGCAGCATCCCAAGGTATAAAACTGACGGAAGTCGTAAATAACACTTGTTTAATCTTTTCATTGAATTAACCTCCTATTTATTTAGCCTTTTCGCCTCCACTAGTTCAAATATAAGATAGCGCCTTATGCGTGTTGAACGAGGTTCCGGTCGGTTCAGAGTCAGCCGGATCTTTTACAAAGTCAATTTTCTCTTGGGACACCTTCGTTCAACTGACATAAGCTTTGAGTCCCGAATGAATGAAAAAAAATATATAGGTAACTCTTTGAGGTGGTTGAAGTGGTTTGTGAGGAAGTATGAATATGGTGGCTCAGAAACTGCTGATGAAATATCTATAACAGCTGATGTTAGAAATTCGGCTGAGCCGACAGATGTGTATGAGAGAGGTTATCTGACTGAGATCAGAAATAATGAAGGCGATTTGCAGAAAGTTTTGGGACGATAGTCATCAGCACGCTGTTAGGCAGTTCTTGTTAGCGTGGATGGTGCCTGTAAATCATCTGCGTTGCATGTCACTGCATTTCCGAAGACTTGGGTCGATAAGCGCTCAGTTTAGACTGCGAGGCACCAGGTTGATTCCGTTTTTATTAAAACCTAATTAGCACGGGAAAAATCTTCAGCGGTTAAGTTTTTGTTTTAATGAGTGATGATTAAATTAGAAATATCTTTCTGTCAGATTTTACGAAGCGGTGTTTCCTGTGGTTTACCAAACACTGATTCCATTATTATCCTAAGAATAATGTGTGATGAAAGGAAACCGATATCTGTGCATTCTAGAGAACAAGTGGTCCTCTTGTAACCATATTGATATCACGTGCGTTTCGTGTAAGCAGTCCTTTTAATTTCGATGTGCTTCTAGTATGACAAGGTAGAATATTTCCAAACTTTGCTTTGAAAGTCGGAAAATGATTTACATAAGCGCACTTGTCTAAAGAATTATTTTTTTGCTATCATATATACATAAGCCAAAAAAGACTCGTTAAGAACGTTTGTCACCGAAAAAATAGTGGATCAGAAGTTACCTTATACCCTCCTCTAAAATTTTCTCGACAAGTCTTCTCGTCCATAAACTGGCATATCCGTTGCAGGACTTGTCAAAAAGAAAGAAATGTCGTAACTCCCCTTCTTTACTGCCAGGGCCCGGAAAACTTGTCAAAGAAATCTTGCTGGTGTAAATCTTTTTCAGTCCGTATGACAGAGATTCTCTATCTGATGATCATTTTATTTCATTTATTCTCATATCAACACAAACCAATTAAGTCTGACCTTAAAATCGCTGAAAAATGACTCAACACACGATTCTCAGAAATCTGTGCACATATGAGTATTTCGTGTATTATCCACGCTCGTATTATCCGCGGATTTTCAGCTGAATAAAGTTGTTTGGTCGTCAAAAGGTTGCCTGGTGTAAATCTCTGAAAGGAAGTGGGACAAGCGCCAAGATTAAAGCTGCGACAATTCTTCTACTTTCACTGTACAAACTTTTAATCATTTTATATTTATATTCTAGATAAATCACATTTTTTCCTTCCACAGAAAATGACCCTTCCTAAAGGTCATACACACTCACTAAAAAAGACTACTTACCGATTTCTTGCTCTATACAGCCTTCAGTCCACAAACAAAGCACTTCCTCCGTCATTTCACAACAGGTCTTGATTCTTGGCCTAATTTTCTTAAGCCGTGAAAACGTTATTTTGCTTACACAGATATAAGTTCCCATCTCATCGATTTATACTAATCGTAAAGTCATTTGATTTCACAGTTTCAGATTCGCCGGCAGTGGACACGTCAGTCCTTACCCATCCATCCCTACCAATGTCTACACCTGGAACTCCTGACTTGTTGGTCAACACTCTGGAGTTGAAACGGACACTTCGAAAGTGGTCACATGACAAAGAAAAGGTAACTGTGATGTCTGCAACAGACGAAAAGGTTAAAGAAATGAAGTATTAGACAAGTTAGTCGTATTACCTGTGGCGAACTAAATTACTCTGTTATACTCTCCCACCGACACAGCACCACAGTTTCTTTAGAAACTTTCCCCCTTTATTCATTTACCAATAGTAAAGTCGCTAAGAGCTTTCCTGATATCATTCTGAACTTGAGGTACTTACCTTAGTATCTTGCTCTATTCGGAGAAATCGAACGATTCGGAAGAGTTCGTGATGTCGATGAGCTGAGGTCGAAGGTTTTGTGGCGATTTCGGTCTTAGATTGGGATGATAGCAATGGGAAATTGTTCAGTTCGAGAATTGGGCGATTATTCAACGCTTTGCCTAGCCAGGCTGTTGTTATCTCAAACACGTGGTTGAATTTATTTATTCATCTCAGTTCATAGTAGTCCGTATTTGTAGTTGATATTCTGGGTCAATTTTTTTGTGCCAAGTAAAAGAACGACTTAAAAGAGATTTTTCTTTTGAAATTTTTACCGTCGAAGTTGTTCTTGGACGTCTCCTCCTTTTGTGGACGTGAGTTGATGAACTACTATGACACATTAATTTTCGCCTTTTTCATCAGGATGAAGAATTTCTGGAACAAGAGGCGCAGTTTCTGAATAGATTGCAGAAGTCACGTGACACCAGCAAGCTTAAGTCCAGTCTTCCTTTGAATTCAACTGTTTACTAACGTGATCACGTGAGTGGTATATCGTTGCTGATGTCTGTACGAACTGAAGGAATTTACTATGCGGTCTTGTTTGTTTGTTTTTCTTTTTAAACGATCGAGTCCCATAGGTAATGAAAACCGCACACGCACGAGTAAGGACACGAACTAATTGGTGAAGTCGTTCGTGGATTGCACACTTCTATTTAATTTAAGAAAGTAACAATTTCTTGCGGACAAGCAAGTAAACATCCTTCGTCGTGTGTTTAGAAGCTACAAATGCTGCGGAGAAATATTTCATTATTGTTTGTGAGAAGTCGAGTGAAAAATTAATCAAAATGACAGAACCATTGAGTTTGGGCGACAGTCAGACGACATGCGTACACGCTTCTCTTTTTTGTTGTGAAACATCTTTAAATTAATAAGTTAGCATAAGATTATGTGCGTTTATTGGTTTGTTTTTTTTTCGCTCATTACTCGATTATCTTAGTTACCTTAGTTGGCAATATGTTGGTTCGCTAAGTTACATTTTTTCTCTCCAGTTCACCCTCTTAGTTTGTCGTCTCTTTTGTCTAATGACCAAAGAACCTTTTAACGATATAGGTTCGTGTGGCTCCTTGCCAGCTTCTAAACTCTCAAATCTTTATAGCCAGCCAGTCAGTCTGTGACATTTTGACATCAGACACAATTGATAGTAAAAAGAATGACGTCACAGGATGACGTGTGTTGTTTCTTGTTCAAACGCTATAACTCTGAGATAGGCAACTTCAATTACTTTTTCTAGTGGCGAGAACAGTTTACGGATCAACCCTTCTCGTAAACCTTACTTGCCCGCCAACGTCACTAATCAGTGACATTTAAGAAACTTTTCACTTTTATCCTTTTTTTTTCTTTCCTTTCATTTCCTTTCGTTTTTCTTATTTGGTATGGGAAAGGTTTGGGGAGGTCACGTCACGGAATTTTTCTTTTATTTATTCCTTTTTCTAATGACATCAAAGGTCAAAGAATACACAAGAAATAAATGAGACTCTTAAAGCATGAAGAAGTTCGTCAAGGATTGCAAATGACCACGTACGCCAAATGTAGGCTGAATTGTTGTAGATGGGTATACCTTGATCAAGCCCCACTATTAAAAGCAATGAATTTTACTTCAATTCTTTTCTAAAAAAAATAACTACTTTTTAAAACCCTTTTTTCTATCTTTCTCTGCTGTATTAGTCAGAACATGACCTATTCCAAGGTTCCGATTATCAAACAACTAGATTCTCATTCTACTTTTTGTGGCTTCAGGTCAAAATTTTGAGAATTATTTTGTCTTTCCAGGCAGAAATGATAATGTACAGATATTTTACTTTGTGTAGCAAAATCATAATAAAATTATTGTTATCAAAACCTCTGGTAATGAGTTTTAAACCTCATTTTAGTAGAATATTCAGGCTCATTCTATGCCATCCTACTTATTGTAAAACATGCAGCAGAAATATAAATACTCTTGCTATCGTCTACAAACCAATACGGACTTAAAAAACCTTCCTCCTTTCTGTAATGTGCCATGATCTTATTTCACCTTATCTCAACCTATATCTCCTTGACAAGACTAGAATTTGCGCCATTATTTTACGTCACTCTTGTATTTTCCGTTAAAAAAGATTACTTCTGATTCCTCGCATTGAATTTTGCGCCCCTAATAATTCAGATACGTGCTGCACTCTGCAAACCGACGCAAACCGGATTTCGCTCAAGAATTCTGCATTATCTACGCGAAGAAGGAACTCCAGCAATTTTGGTTACGCCCACTAAATTTGCGGCCGAAGTATGTTTCAATCTGTGAAATTTTTTTCCAAATCGTCTTTTAAATTTTTGATTTGCCGACAGCAAATAATCAGAAAAATACACGACCATACAATTTAGTGTAAAGCCATGTTATCCGGCCTTCTTTCTGTCAGACGATTAACGTAGCAAATCGGTTTAATTCTTATCGTGCCGGCATTGCAAGGTTCGTGTGATGCCGTGATGTTTTCCTCACATTATTCGTGATAATTATTTCCGCTGGTTGAGAGTTTTCAAGACCATCCGATCGATGAAATTCCATTACAAAGCCATTAAAGTACGCAAGGGTTAATACCAACAGTCAATCAATCTATCTATCTGTCAATCATTCAATATATCGCCACAAAAGCATTGAAGTATAATTTGATATCATCAATCTATTTATTAATCATTAATTCGCCCCTTCGTATATTGAAGCAAGCAGTTTATAAATACCTTGTGTGTCGTTCTCTTTTCTTTCAAATTTAGACTTTGCGATTTTCCAAAGTTGTCACAAACAAAAAGTTCATGACATGGCCCGCAAAAGCAGTATTTAAAATCGCTATTTTTGGTCCCGCTTACGTTTCATGTTCTACGCTAAAACCAATATTTCATTCTAAACTCGATATTCTGTTGCTCTTTGGGGCGGTAACTAAGGTGTGCCCAAAAACGAAAACAATGCTAACAACATCAAATGTATACGATATTTAACGGTGTCTTTCTACATTATCTTTACATCGCGTTTGCCTAAGGATGTTACTAAAAGTTTGGTTTAAATATTTACAAATATATAGTTTCTGGGAAGTTAATGTAAACTTACTGGTGCATGTATTTGATGTATGAGGCTGAGTGTTTTTTCGAAGCTCTTTCTGAGAAGCTCGATGTTGTCTTGGAAAACAATGAAGGTCGTGATATCCTTTTTGTTGGAAATATTTGTCAGTTAACTATAGAAATTCCGTTGAACGCACGAAAGGCGAAATGTCACGTCATGTATTATGTATTCAAGTAAAATTCTTGAGAAAAAACGAAACAGATTCAATCTGTTTAACTGGTGCAGTTTCCTGAAGAAATGTTTACTCAAATTGCTGCAAACATAAAGGTGTATTCCCACACATATAGCCAGCCTCTGTAGGCTGTGAACCGTTAGAAATATTTAGGAGGCTCCCGGCGAAAACTAAAAACAACTGATTATACTGAATTACCAACTGGTAATCGCCACACATACAAAGGGCATTGAGCACAATATAAATTGAGCTTTGTAGGTATATTGAGTGCTAAAAATTGGCAAAATTAAAACAATAACTTAAAAATTTACAAAGAAGAGATTTCAGTAAGAACGCATGTTCTTTTGAGTTGATGAAAAGGTAAGAAATATTCACCGGTAGTTAAATGTTTCTCAATGCGCTTCACTTTATTAACGCAGAGTTTGGAAAATGCTATCATGTTTTTAAAGGATTGCCTAACAACGTGCAAGGCAGTCTATTTTAAGAGAGAGTGTGAACAAGAATAGTTTTAGCCTAAAGTAGGTCAGATAATATGAATTTTCGGCCCGGGCAATAAAAATACACATTTGTGTAGAGAGGAATGTTCATCATATTTAATTAATGGAGTCTATTCGGCAACATTGTCAATTGATGTATATTCAGTTGTGCTTGATATTCAATAGATACGTCGTATTCACACGGACATAATTTGGCGCGATGGAAGAGAAGGGGGAAGATGAATTGTTGTATTTGGAAATGTCCGCTGCTTAGAGCCAACTATGAATGAGCCCCTGCTTAGAGGTCACGTATCTTTTTGCTCATCACGCTGGGGAAATTTAAATTTTAATAAAAGATTAAGCTGCCTCTCAGCCGCCATGGTGTGATGAAGTGAAATTCTAAATAATTTGATGATTCTTACAGTTTTGCAATTATTTTCACCTTGAGAATCTAATGACCTTGACTGTGGAAGTGCTTACCATAAATTCTGGTGGGCATATGAGAGGTAGCACAAGTGGTAATTGAGTTTTTGAGACGACTTCCTCTATAAACATAGAAGTCGAGCCTAGCAACGTGATTTGTTTTGTGTACTGCAGAAGTGCACGTGAAGTGGAGATTAGGTTTTGTTTTTGTGTTAAGGATATCTTACGCTATAAATCATTTCAGTTCTGATCAGTCTTGTATCCAGTTTATAGGCTTAGCTAAGGTTTAAACTGCCGTTGTACTTCGAAGAAATGATCTAGTAAGGAATTTAAATGGGCAAGAAAGTCTTTCCGTTGGTCACACCGACCCTTATGATTTTCCTGGTTAACTGAGTAATTACTTTAGGATTAACGCATAACCTCATTCAGAGTGTGGTTTTGCGCTGCCTTACCCCTCTTCCGGCACTGGTTTGCGCATCTTTACAATTGAACGTTTGAGTCACAAAGAACTACTTGTATTGGATGAAAAAGAATTTTGACAACTTAAGAAGAAGTAATTTTTGGAATTTTTTAATGCTTTAGAACTCGTGGCTTCTCATTTCACACGGTCAAAATCTGTCCTATTTCATGTGTTGTGCAACCAACGGCTTGATCGTCGTATAAACGACAGTTTTTCCCAGGCCAGAGTAATTTGTTACGTAAGAGCTCTTCGAGAGATCGTTTTTCAACCGATGCTTGTAAGAGAGAAAAATATTTTGTGTTAAGAAATGTGGATTCCAAAGTAGATGTAACCTTCTTGACGAAGGGAATAACTCAGAAACTGCAAGGTCGCCACACTTCAATACAACCAAGTCTTACTTCCTAGCTCCTTTAATGTATGTAGAACAGTTCTATTGACTGGAACCAAACTGGAGTTTTCTTTTTCTTCATAGGAGGGTAGGGGAGAGGGAGGGAGGAGAGGGACGGGAGAGGAGAGGAGTGGCTTGGCAAATAATTTGAGGCGGGGACAAAAGTGCCAGTGATCTTGGGTGTAAATTTTCCGTGTTCTTGGAGAAAATTTTTTTTCTATTTGATTTCAACTTCCTCAAGTGTTGAACATGAAGCTATTGTGTTTTGAAACAAAAATAGCAAATCTATTCACCAAGCGTACTTGGAACAGCCCCTGGCGCGCGCGCCAATATCTAGTTTAAAATTAAATATTTTCTTACTTGGCCTTAAACCACAAACAAGCTCTTGTGAATGTTTCCACACGCAAAGGTCTCCATCTGGTGTAATCTTTTCCCAGATAAGGAAAGAGACCTTCAAAGTACGTGCCCGAATTACACAATTATGCAAATAATTTATAACTCCTGGGGGCCTTAAGCGTAAGCGACTTGAACATAACACAGTCCACTAGATAGGTTATGGTTATCAGTTTAAGTACCTCTTATTTAGCGCTCTTCTTTCAAGGGCCAAGAAGATATTGAGTAGCGGGTGGGAGTGAAGATTGCCGCAACAGGAATCATTTTCTATCATCTTCCTTAGCAATGTGGCTTCGTGCCCATCATAAAATTGTTTCCTTTGGAACACCAGCCATCCATGAACGTTTGTTATGAAATATTCACCGTGAGCTGTCTGTCTCGTGCCAGACAGAAATTCGAACGTTGTTTAGACTTCTTGCTAACTTCATGGTCTGATTTCCCAAGGCACTATCACAAGGCTTCACCAATCACTTCTAAAGCAATCCGAAATTTTCTTGCGCTGTTGATATAAGATCATGGGTTTGAGTTTAGTCACGCACACGTCTCCAGACCTTGGCTATAACCAAAATGCAAATATCACTTTAATATACTAAACCAAGTGAACAGGCGATCAATTTGTGTGATTTATTGTCGCTTATCTGAAGACAAATTATATCTTGCGGATACGAAAGACTTGCGCACGCAAGCCAAATTAATTAACAACACAATGTAAACTTCTTTATCAAAGTTTCTAGATTTCCTCTTGGATGGCGTTGGAGACAGTGACCGTGATAAATGCCAACTTCCTCAGGAAAGAAGGCCTCATTGTTCGTTCATAGCGTTCTCAGAACTCGTTTAAAAAGTTGCCTTTATATTCAAATTTACTGCACCTCTCTTAATTCTTAACGTGATTGTTTTTAGGTAGGTGGAGCATGGAAAAAATAGCTCGATAATTTATTGGGAGTATTTTGAAAAATCTGTGTTCTTAAACTTGTGAAGATTCTCACAGTGCAAGCTTCGTCCGAGGGCAATGAATCATTCATTTGTTGTGCACTTGAGACAGCAGACAGTAAAACAGTGTTGAAAAAGCAAGGTGTTATGACTGTCTACAGACCAGCTTCATTCTTATCTCGCATTTTTGTTCGCGTGCCTGTTTGAGCGTGCAGATGCCGGACTTGATAAGAAAGACCACCCTTTACCGATCATCTAACATTTCACACACAAATTACTCCAGAGTAATGATTCATGATATTACCAGAAGTATGTAATAATATTACAAAAATGACAACGTGTTGTTAGCATTCATACACGATCATACAGGGCTATCTGTACGCACCTTGTTATCAGTGATAACGGCTTTTTCCACCATGGGCTGTTGGTTTATCGAATAAGTTAAGCAGAGGGAAAGCGATATCTTTAAATGGACGGTGTATCAAGTTTAAACAAAATGACCTCTCTTTCCCAGATCAGCTGGAAAATTAGCGTGACATATTTAACATAGCGGTTTTCAAGATGTTAAAATCTTGTCTGCAATATTACTAATCCGCTCCTCTTTCAGCGATCGATTTTATATGCCGAAGAACCGAGGGGGGCGGGAAATTTTTAGCGTCTGTACCGACTCCTTAAATGTGTACTTTCACGATCTTGTTAGCACTTCCGGTCCGCCATGCCCTTCTTGCGTCGCAATGGTGTCTTTCCGTTTATGGGCAGTTATACTCCCCTAAAAATAATGTTTGCAATTGTTTTGTTTAAACGACCGGAAATTGGAAGGGAAATTTTGTATTGGTACCCTGGGTGCGTCTCATGTATAATGCTTATCGCTCATTGGCAAGGCTGAAGCCCCACTGCGATTCGCACTCGATTGAAGTAACTTCATTTACATTCATTTCAATTATATAATTTGCGGTTTCGGAGTGTGAACGCGTGACTTGGGGATGACGATAAATTAGTCCGATGATTTAATCGCGCCCGACTTATAACAAGCGGATTCGAGCTGTAATCGTTCAGTGTGTATAACGATACCCATAGTGAGTTAGTTACAGTGCAAAGTTTCGGTACGCTCGATATTCAAAGCAGACAACCCATAGAGATTCAGAGAAAACATGGCCCGTGTTCTGACGCACTTTTTACCGCTTGTGTTTGTTTTGACAATTTCGCTGGTTACAACTGTCTTTCCCAAAAGGCAGTGTCCAAAAGCCTGTAGAACATACATTGTGAGTGAAGTAGATGCAAAAGTCAGTAAAGCTGTCAGGGTAAGTATTAATACTTCTTTTTTACTTCAGTTTAGTCCTTGACGGCGTTAATTTTATAACATTTATGACTTTCTTTTAATTAGAGCGGGTTTCTTAGCCTTTGTTTCACATAGAATGGTGAATTAAAGTTTTGACGTGAAAGCGAAAGGCAGCTTTTTTTTATCGTGCAGAATCACAAGATGGTTTAAGCTCTTAAAGAACTTGGGCTGAATACAAAATAGCTGAAAACAAGTGCTGTATTGTGAATTTTCGTTGCGCCCGAGACACCATCTAGTAAGTGCTAGGGACAACGGTACTTCGACGTTTAATTGATAAACAGCATTTTGAAAAGATTTCTGCTCTGTTGCGTTGATCCGCTTGTTAGCATTTCGTAGATTAAACTTTGCCGTTTATGGAAGTAGACTTTTTTTCTTTCGTGCAAAGTACTTGGCACGTGAAATTTATGTCCACTCGACTGCTAACGTATGGGCTGTCTATTGACAAAGGATGTTTTTGTCGTGAGAATGTTGAATGGCTTTGCTCCAACGGAATGCAATGGCATGCAAATTACAGGTTATGAACATCACAAATTAAACATTGTCAAGCCAGCCATTGTTGTCCCAGATACTGCTAAGACATGTCAAAGTGCTAAACCAATGAAGAATGTGCAAAATGAGATAACATCGAAAACAAGGCCGGGATAATTGCGCAACAGTGGCTGAGTGGCCTTTGAGATGTGGAAGCTATTCAAAATGGTGGAAAGTTGTCATTTTCGTTGAATTACGAAAACAGTTCACTTGTCGTTGCAGCGCTTGGAACGCTTCCCGCAAAGAAATCGCGGTTTTTCTAGAAATGTGAGTCATGTTTAATTGAAAACATGGCCACGACCGGAAAAAGGACGATTGCAGAGAATGAAACGCCGTGAAAATTGAGTGATTTTTTTGACCCCGCGCATGAATAAACGACCAATGTTGTGTTTTTGGCCCTCCCCTGTGAGGAAACATTCTTAGCTGTTAAAAGCATTTATGTTATCTTTTAATCTCGCGCTCTTTTTTAACGAAAAGTTTTTAAAATATACCCCCTCTGAGTTTAAATGTGGCCTGCTTAGTGTACCTCGAGACCAACTCGTGACGTTACCACGAATCAAAACAAGGAAATCGAAACAAAAGACCATTTGTTTCGTGGTTTAAAAAAAAAAGATCTGTCAAAATTTTCCACGCTTAGCCATTACCTAAGACAGTTCTAAGTGTAGGTTAAAGCGAGATAAATATGCACTGATGCAATACACTTTGTTTATTTCTTAACTTTAGCAAGGCAATACTCAATCTCTCGGTTTCTTTGACTACAAAGTCAATCTGCTTTCCATATTTATAACTTATTGTACTGCATCTTAAAATAGCACACGAAATAGGATGTGATTGCCCGCAATATATATTTTGTTCCAACTTTCTCCTTTTTCTAACGTTGTGTTGACCATCACACTTTATAAATACGTTACTGAAATATTGTGTTCGTTGTCCTTTTTTGGGAAAATTGTTGAGGTGTGGCTTTCGTGTCACTTGCCAAAAGTGGATGAAAAAAAATTCCTTTTTTTATGCAAATGATTTACATGGTTTTTGCTGGTCATTCACCATGACAAATACAAGCTTTTAGTGGCAAGGTCACAAAGCAGAAGTCTTGTGGTATTAAATGGGAATGTAAAGTATTTTTCTGGAATCAAACGTGCCGGTCACGTGAATTTTTTGTGCGCAAAGCATTCCTCAAATCTTATCTGTCTGTTTCCCTTTCAGAATGTTGAAAAAGGAAAACGTGGTCCAAGAGGAAGACAGGTTAGCAAAATCTATTTTCTTCTAGGTTTTTCACGGTGGTTTCCGTTCCGTTGCATACGCAGTAATTGGTAATTAATCATTCATTCGTTCATTTTGATTCGCTTGCTTGCTTAGTAACTAACCCGGGCCTTATAATCAAGGTGAAGGTTAACTCACATACACTGATTTAATTTAATAGTGACAAGCTTACTTGACATGTTGGAAATCGAGAGAAAATACGAAGGGTGCTGTTTAAAGCAGTTCTGACATTCCAAAACAACAACAATATCAATAACAGCCGCAACAACCACACAATTAATGGAGAAAAACTTAAAAAGGAAACGGTCAACCAAAAAATTTTTATGAAAAGGAAAAAAAACGTTATCGTGACGATTTAAGGTCAGGAGAATAAAAGAAATAACACCAATTCAATAACCTCTTGACTGTTAAACAAATTCTCCTTGTCCGCACTTAAGAGATGTACAGAGAACAGTTAAGAGAATATGCATACTGATGTTAGGGTGTAAAGGGTTGATCATGCTTCCTCCTCATATTCTTCTACTGTTTGCTTTCATCATCAGGGAGTTGAAGGACCTATCGGGCCTCAGGTACTACTTCGTGTTACTGAAACTAATCTGTAACTTTTTCTGCACTTGCTAATTTCTGCTTATTCAGTGCTTATTTACTTTTGGCTTCACATCTACTTCCGCAACTCTAGAATATCAAATCACTGTATAAATTGTTCCAAGGTGATATTTTTCAATGCACTTCAGCGTACAATAAAACTCATTCAAGTCAGTTCGAGCGTGTGAGGTTTTACTCTGTGTAAAAGTAGGTATGACATATAACACGCGCTCGTTCACGGTCAACATTTTTTTATTTTTCTTTTCTACAGGGTTCACCAGGCCCTCGTGGAGAGAGAGGTCCCATGGGTCCTCAAGGACCGAGGGTAAGTTGGGCGCTATTTAAAAAATAGTTGATTTCTTCGTTTCTTCCCCAGTTTTTGCAATCAATGCTGCGACTGTTTTTGTAATGTTGTTCCCGATCTTTACTTAGTGAAGCGTGTGTTGTTTGAAAACATTAGTTTCTTTTGTTTCAGGGAGAGCAGGGTCCACAAATTTCCCTTCCAATATGTGAACCCGGAGAGTACGTCACATCCGACGGGAAGCAGTTAAAATGCGTTAAATTTGGTACGTCATAAAATGTTTGCTCTATTCTGGTATCTTTTTAATCATAGTGACTTTGCTGTTTATTCAGATCGTTTCAGCTCGTAATATTCCTGATTAGTTACTTTGATTACGATAGTCTTGAAATAGATCTTTTATGTATAGCACACCCATTAGCACGCCCCTGTACCGCCCACTTTGTGTGACGTCATAACGTTCAATGAGTAACGATAATTAATAAGGCGTGCGTGTAAAAGATTCACTGACGCATTACGATGATTATTTTTCTATGTATATAGCCTCTTTTTTAAACTCTTTTGTGTTTTTGGAGTTAATCCCTTTGCATCTTTTGTCTTTTTACGTTCCGTGACGAAGTAGAAATCCAGTGTCCATCAAGCCTGTTTTAACGTTCCACTTTGTTTTTGTTTTTTTCCAGGTGAAGAAGTTTGTAGAGCTGTATCGAAATGCGACGGTACTTCAGGTACTTGTCAACGCTGTTTGTTATTATCCTGAGTATTGTTGCTATCATACCAAGAACTGAAGCGCAATATTCAAGGGTTTTGTTTGTTTTGTGTGGTCAGTAAAGCAATCTCTAGTTCAATCAGGATTCATGCTGATAATTGGTGATGAGGCAAGTTTCTAATTGTTTTTTCCTTTCTATTTATCCAGGTTACCAACCAACAACGCCCACTCTTTCCACAAGTAAGAAAAGTTACGCTTCGTAATCCCCAGAAATAGTGACAGGGGAATATTCTACAGATTTCGGCGATTTTGAATTAAGAGAAAGAGGCTTTCATACGACTTTCAAACGATGAAGTATTCTGACAATAAAATTTTATAATTGACAATTTAAGTAAAAATGTGAGGTGCTTTCACAAACCATGCAAGATATACGACACTATATTATCACTCGTAGAAGGTGTTGCCTATTTGTTTATTTGTTTTAAGGAAATAAATGCTTTTGTCGTAATTTGAGCCAAGAAAAAAAAAACGTAAAAAGAGATACCCTTGCGGTCAAATTTTACAAAGAAAGGAATTTTCATGATTTCAATTAATGATTTCATTACTCGATAGAAATAGTTCAGTGGAACAAATTAACAACCGAGCCCACATTCTAGAAAAAGAAATTTGTGGTTAACTAACTTCAATTAGTACGCCTTCCAAAACCACACCGACTGAAAGGTAGTGATTGGCTCTTTAATAGTCGAGATAGTTCTAAGCTCTACGTACCATTGCTCTTTGTAATTTTGTGGATAATATGGTTTAAGGTATTAATTGTCTAAACTGTGTAATAGTTGAAAACTGGCCTAGATTGCGTTGGTAATTGATGGAATGTCTTTCTCTTTGCAGCACCAACTCCCACTCAGCCTCCGGTGAAAGGTAAGATGATGGGGAATTGGGGCGAGATATGATCGTCTTTCAAGGTACAGCACAGCGGTCTTTTTACCCCATTACTAA